GACTTTCATATTTCACATGTGTATTTCTTGTGACAAGACCTTTTTTTGGTACCACCAAATTTGACCTTGACCTTGGAGTTTGACCCACTTTTACACAAAAATTCCAAACTTTTACTTTGGCCATCACTTTTGAATGGTAGGTACTAGGACTTTCATATTTCACATATGTATTTTTTGTTGCAAGACCTTTCATTGAATACCAACAACTTTGACCTTTTGACCTTGGAGATTTACGTACTTATGAAAAAACTTTAACTTTGACCATAACTTTTGAACGGTAAGGGCTAGGGCTTTCGTACTTCATAAATGTAATCCTTGTGAGAAGACCTTTCTTAAGAGACCAACAACTCAGACCCTTTCACCTTGGAGTTTGACCTACCTTTCAAAAATTTATCCTCGACTTAAACTTTTGAACAGGTGGTGCTGGGAATTTGTATTTCACAATCGTATTTCTTGTGAGAAAACCCCTACTTTGGGTAATAATACATTTAATTTGCATTTAATAAAAGTTTAATCTTCGTTATGTTGCCATACCGGGTTATCAGTGTTTCACAAACACATCTTGTTCCTAACATATTGATAAGAAATAGGGCTTTCATATTTGACATGTGCATTACCTGTGACAAGATAATTTTGAGCATGCTATGATTTCTTACCCCTTAACATTGACCTTCACGATTGACCTTATTTAAAAAAAAAACAATTTCAATGACAATTTCTAAATAAATGACATATGATATGGTGTTCAAATTAGACACAATATGTCATAAAAAATAACATCTCATCTACAAAGACACCGAAAGCGGGGGCCACAATTCTTTGAATTTGCTTGTAGGTATCAGTATTTAAAATTTGATATTTTTTTATGTTAGGACTATCCCATAAGTATTACGTTTTTTCTCTTGATAATAATTTTCATATATAGTATAAAAAGTATTTTCGTTTTTCAGGAAAGAAAAAATCAGGACTCGACAGAGGGGTAGATATAATTATACTCATATAATTATCTATTTTACAATGATAATGAATCAAGAATTTTTACAGATTAAGATTTTGAAATGAGTATGTCTTGCACTTTCAATGGTTTAGTTTCCAGGCAATGTTGAGCATTCAGCTTCTGGTGAATCATATTAATCCGATACTTTGGAGAACAGAAATCCAACAATGTAGACAGATAATGACTTATATTAGAGAAGGAGTAGGGGTCGAACGGAAGTTTATCCCGGAAGTGTAAACAACAAAAACATGCTCTAAAGAAACCAAATAATTACTACACTGTGGAATATAATTATATTCTCAGTACCTTTGAAACTGTTGAGGAAACTGTTGAGGAAACTCATCATTGGGAAAGTTTGAATGATCATTTCATTACAACAAGACAGTCACATGATAGTGTTTATAAATTATAATACTCTTCATATCCATGATTCTACTTTAATAGATGCAACAAATACCTATATAGTCACACCAGTGAATTAGATGGAATATACTGTCATTTGAATGGATGGGTATATTTTGAAGAACATATCAATATGCTACATGTACTGACATCGGGAATTCTGCCATTCTGAGATCGATGATTTCATTATTCCATCGCCAACTTTTCCTTATTTTTAAAAGTAATCATACCCTACCATCATCTACACATTTTGTGTACATCCTCAACTTTTTTGATATTCAAAAGCCTACTCTGAGTACTATCAATTCTTAAATAAAAGATTTGTAACTTGAATATTACTTGTGGCCGTATTGTTGTTATTGTTTGATCCTGTACTGTATTGTATGACTGTTTATTTCTCATTTATATGTACATATTTTACATATCAACATCTAGTTACATGTTTATATAAAAAGAAACTCTACACCATTCATTCAAATCACACGAATGTTCACATGAAAAAGTCATAGTTATTTTTTAGTATTACGGTATTTTCTTCTTTTCTATTATTTATATTTTAGTATTTAGAATGTAAATAATAAGATGTTAAAGAAATATTTAACGATAAAAATAAATCGTTATAATTGTAAAGAAAATTATCAAATAAATTTTGTGATACATGTATTTACTAGTATTTCTTTTATATCTGAAACAGTGTTTTCATTCTTTACTTATATTCTTAGGTAAAGACGTTTCTGTACGTTATGTATTGTTCCAGAGAGACAAATATACATGTATATATAATATATAGACAAAAAATGCTTACGATCAACGATATAAGGGTAGAATGAGTTAAAGAGCCAGAAATGACCAAATGTGAAAAGACTGCTACTTTCTACCATCATAATCTTTCTCTTATTTTTGCAGATAACAAGCATGTGGTTCTGAATGTATACGCAACAGCATGTTCTAAGAATCATTTTAACACTCGTAACCTAGGTAGGTTACACAATAGAAGTTGATGTTACAGAATATTCAACTGCCTTGTTAAAAGTCAGCATTTCACAAATTCCTTCAGTTGGTCATTATAATTAGTAAACATTTTCGTTTATTTTTTTATCGATATTTTCTAACAATACACATGTACTTATAGCAATAATTTTATTACCTATAGAGATTCATTATATTCTTTTATCTATTATCCCTATATTGTATAACGCTTTTCACCCCGAGATCATTTTCAATCTGTTTAGTTCAGTTTCTTGGAAACTGCAGTTAAGGAATACAGACGAAGTTTATTGTAAAACTGAAATATAAATAGACGGAGGCACAAAAGGATGTGACATCTTGAACTCTGTTTCCCTTTCTTCATCAAATATTAAAGGAACCTTTTCAATACTTTCATAAATAGTTAACACAAGTACTTAACTCTCATACATCTCATTTTTTTCTGGAAACTTGGGTAAGCTAATTTTCATTCTTCTGAAGTCGTCTGGCAGTAACGTTTAAAAATGATTACAAAAATTTACGTGTTCTAAAGTCAAAGTTATGCTTATCATTAAAGCAGATCGAAATGCAAACTTGATCTGATAATTGAAATGAAATTCTGCCACCAATTGAAAGTTCGAAACCTTATAAAATGATTGCTAATAGGTCGTTACATGTATTTCGATCTATGTATATAACGATATGTCCAGTTGGTCAATAGTTGAACGATTGATTGACTGGGGTGCGTATCATTACAGCTACATTTTTCAAATTGCCATTACCGCCACATAGTCATGACCGCTACAAAAACGTTACATTACCGCTACATTTAAAAGTATACTCGTACATTACCGCTACATTGCCTCTTTCCTTAGTCAGCAACTTATGCGTGTGCAGATTGACAAAAAGAACAATGTATACATACATAAGACCTGTTTTCCCTGTTCACCACGGGGAGGTGACACATCTCCACACTATAAAGTGTTTGAAAGTCTTATTTCTTTTTATAAATACGAAATTTATATTAATTTTATTAATAACTGATCCTGCATATTTCCCGCGTTTTGTTTTAAACTTCTTAATAGAATCGTTGACGTTCAAGTGACGCTGAATTAGTTACATTTCGACTACAGACTTATATATATACTCATTCTGATTATAATTCAAATCAGAATTGTACTTTACTATATGATAAGTGGATTCTATATTGGTTGAAACTCGTATTCCGTACCATTGCTGGCTGATTCTGTATGTAGCGGTAATGAGTTGTTTTTGGCAATAGTCCTTTTGGAAATATGTAGCGATAATGATCGCACGAAAATTTGAAGAAATGTAGCAATAATGAGTTGAAATTTTTGGCAATGTAGCGGTAATGTTGCCCTCTCGATTGATTGTATATTGTTTAACGTCCCTCTCGAGAATTTTTCACTCGTATGGAGACGTCACCGTATGCCGGTGAAGGGCTTCAAATTTAGACCTATACTCGGCACTCAGAACTTTTGAACAGTGAGGGCTCTTTATCGTGGCAACACCTACCGTGACACGGGACCTACATTTTAAGGTCATATCCGAAAGACCCGTGACTTTCACTTGGCGAAGGAATGTATACGTATGATGCGGCGCCGCAAACGAAAGTCGAACCCGGGCATCCCGATCACGAAACGAACGCTCTGCCACTAGGCTACCGTGACCGGTGTTATAGTTGAACGAAAAGGTAGAGAGAAACATTTATGGGTGTTTTCCTTTAGATGCAAGATGTACGTAATTTATCATGTTTCAAATTTAAATTAGCCAACAAACATCCTCACTAATTGACAAATGTGATGATCTTTCTCTTATTTATGCAGATCTCTAGCATATGGTGTTAAATTGGTATTCAAAAGCATGTTCTAAGAAAAAATAATAGATAGGTTATAAAATAAAAGTTGATGTTACAGGGTTATCAGCTTCCTCGTTAGAAGTCATGTAGCAAATTTTTTGTCATTTTTACCGGGTATTCTTCATTTTTGATCAATATTTTCCAATAATACTTTTACCACTAATTTTAGATTATTTTTTAACGGGTTACATAGATTGCTTAATCAAATATAGATGTACAAGCAGAACTTGTGTTGCACGGAAGTTTTTTTCTTCCTAAATAGATTCAGTATACGGGGTATTCTTTTATTTTTCTCATCTATTGCGTTTTCCACTGCGAGATCATTTGCAATCAGATTAGTTCTGTTTATTGGACCCTTTTGCTGCATTTAATGAATACAGACTAAGTTTGTTGATATTATCTTTCGACGTCCAAGCATTTCTAACATCGTCTTTTTGTAACGTTGTAAAACTGAAATATGAAAATCTACGTTCACATAGCCAAGAAGAAGACGTATTAACATGAGTGAAATTTCTCTGATGGTAATCATACAAAAATCAATCAAACTTATTTTAGATAAGACTAATTTGTTGAGAAAGTTTTTCTAGGATTTAAATACTCAGCTATAACAAAACATATGATAAGACTTACCGATAAAAACTGGTACAAATAAGAGAGTTCATTTCCGATCCCGTTTTATAAATTGTTTTAAAATATATTTTATCTGTTTCTGTAATTCATTTATTAAATGGGAACAAGCGATACTCTTCATGCAGAGATAGAATGGTGAGGTATGAATCTTTCACCTGTTCTTACCCCAACTGCTGTCGCCAGATTCATCTTTCTTCACAAGACGTCACGAGTGTAACATACATACAATGCAGTTCATGTACCAATTTGCACGGGAATACAAGTTTGACAACTGTATATTACAACAATAACCAATCAATTACAAGGTTATACACCGATCAGTGTTGTGGAGGTGAAATGTTTGTTTACTTAGGTAAATTAAAGGACATAACATTTGTAAGAACATATTTTCTATTTATCATACAAACTGAACAAGATTGATTTGATTGATTTATGAAATATAGAAAAAAGTATGAGTAAAATAAAATTTTAAATATTCTTAGAAATTTATACTCAGTTGCTAAATTGAATTTCTTAACCTGTAACCGAAAGGAGCGAATCAACTTTTATTTCATAATATCACGTCAAAAATGTTTTTTTTTCTAGATCAGATACCAACAGAGAAACCCACATTTATTTATGATATAGAGACCACTCGGGGCTTGATTTCAACAGCAATCAACAGAGAGGAACCTACCCTATGTACTGGAAATACGGCCTTTCTTTTCAGTCTGACGATAAACATCCTACTTTCTGTCCTATTACTTACTATGTTTTATGTTGCTTGGAAAAAAGCTCACAAACGGAGAAAAGCCCACATTCGTGCACCTAAGTAAGTTAACATCAAATAGTAAAGATAACTTCAGTTATTGAAGGCGTGTTTTTTCGGAAATGGGAAGTGGGGAAGGGGGGTGTCTTTCTTCTTTTTGACATAATCTTTTGCTTCCACTATGAAAATGTTCATTGAAAGGTCTTCCCCAACCTTTTTGATGCAATTTGGTCAAATCTTTCCTAATTAATGTAGCTAAATATTTACTTCTTGAGGAAAAAAAATCCCCCCTCTCCCCATATCTAGAAGATTTTGAGTTTGGACATATTTTTGGATTACAATTGTAAATTATCATTATTGGTTGTAATTTTTTTTGCCTTTTTAATAGCTAAGTATTTAAATTAAGGTTGTATTTTTCCCCTCCCATCAACCTTCTATAAATGAAACAACGTATCTATAGAAAATATTTTAGGCATTTAAGGTTTGTTTATTTCAAACAATTAATTATGTATAACGCTTTAAGATTATTTCTTGACACAAGATCTAGGAAAACAATTTGCGAACATAACAATTAAAGAAACGAATTTCGATAAATCGGCACAAATGCCCATAAAGAAAGAGTGAATGATTTGAGAATGAGTTGCAATTTTCGAAATTTACGAATTCTTTGATTTAATGTAATTATTTTTAACTTATTTGAGTTTTTAGTCAGTACAATATTTACACCCAATGACCTCCCTCTCCTCTATGGCTCATGAAAATGGATAGCGTTATCTATTCATTAACAATTCACAAGTTAGCATCATTTTGAAGAAAAGAAAAGAAATCTATTCTTAGCGGGGTCTTGAAGCTAGCTCACTGAAGCGTTAAAACAATCGAAAATTGTACTGTTCATGTGCAACATAATATTTGAAGCAGAAACTCGAAAAATTAAAGGTCCAAATATTGAAACCAAATTCTTAGTACCTTTATTTTATAGATACATGACCAGTGGAGACGTGCAAAGACAAACTGACGGTGTATATGCACAGCTAGATATGCATCTAGAAGAAACTGATCCAGTAACTGAATACGTAGAACCAGTAACATCAACGAGAAACCAAAATCAAAGACATTCGATAACCAGCGAATATCCTCAATACTGCGAAGTAATTGACTGACTTTTTTGAGCAAGAAGACACCCTTTTCAACGAAACATTTCTTAACGAAGCTTCAAATTTGATAGATAGATAAGATTAATTGCAGAGATATTGTACACTAAATGTTTTCGCCTTCTGTTATCTTGTTTTCAATTGCTTTGTATTTTAAAGAATTATAAGTCTTCTATCGATGATCATTTAGACATACGAGGGCTGTTCAATAAATAATGTTCTCATTGCGAGGAACTTTTAAAATTTAAATAATTCAGTCTGAATGATTTAACTTATACTTAAATATTCTCTTTGAATTAAAACGCATGTCCGTAACATTTTATCCAATTTCTTATTGTTTTTATGTCTGCTTGCCTTACCACCCACATCAAAAAGAACATAACTCCTCTTTAAAGAATAAAAAAAGGTCATTTATTGAAATATGCAATAAATGACAATGGATCAAAAAAGCACAATATAAAAACATGTACAAAAGTAACTAAAATTATATACATCAACATCAATAGTTAAGAGACAAATAAAATCAAGTTTGTACCTGAGAGCAACAAAAAGTTACATCAGAGGACTAGATACAATTACGGCATGATTGACATAAAACATATAACCAAGTGGGTCTCAAGAATGGTGTCAATCTGAAAAAGGGGGCGTTTTGGTTATATGTTTTATGTCAATCATGCCATAATTGTAGAAGCTTGCTGTCTGCCACTACCCACCCCTCCTCCAACTTGTACTTTTTCATTTGATGTTGCTCATTATGTTCGGGGGTTAACGCCCCCTTTTCCAGATTGACACCATTCTTGAGACCCATTTGGTTATATGTTTTATGTCAATCATGCCATAATTGTATCTAGTCATTTGATGTAACTTTTTGTTGCTCTCAGGTACAAACTTGATTTTATTATTTTATTGATTATGGCAGATCCTGTGTTTTCCTGGAATTGTTTCCTCTTTTTGAAAGGTGTTTTTTCAAGATTTGAAAATGAACCAAGTCAAAGGGTGACAAATCTGGCAAATATTATTGTGTGACAAAATATTACCTTTTTGTTTATTCCCAAAGATCCTTTACTTTTCATGGCGTATGGGTTTGGACGCTGTCATGAAGAAATTTAATGTCGTGGATTCCTGGTTGTAGTTCCTTCCTCTCAAAAACCTTTCGATTTTTTTTCTTACTAAAATTTGCTTTTTAGACTTCTCCAGAAATTGAACTGCCTCCCCGAATAAGAATTAGAACAACAAGACCACAAATATTTAAGAAAATGGCATCTAAAACTGTCTTTGTCCTCCCCTAATTCTTTGCTCTTTTCAGACCTCAGACTGTTTTTGTCAAGTAGTCTTATTGAAAAAATGTTTTGAGGGTAATAAAGCAATGGATTCAAGTTTTATTATCTGTTTGAATATCAGATAAACGTCGTGGATAACTACAATTTCTGATTTTTTAAAAATAATTGTTTAGATATTCTTACACGATGTCGTTTTCGCTCATGTTTTAAAGCATAGGGGGACTACTCAGTACATAGCTTACTACTGTCAAATGTTTCTTTAAAATAGTGTGAACCACCCCCAAATTGATTCCTATTATTTGTACAACAATTGTAAAATTATTTGAAAAACCAAAAAGAAAATCAAACCGTTTAACTTATCCAATCACTACCAAATCTAAACAGTGAACTATTTTTTCGAAGATCAAAGTGAAAGAGACATAAACAGAAGATAGACCAAGAGTGTTGATCCTTTGGGGTGGGGGTGACACCATTAAAAACAGCCAAAAAAGCATTAGCTGCTTAAACACATATATTTCCTGAAAACATTGCATGACCCGGATATTGTTGTAAGCTCTTATCATACAATTATGGATTTTTTAAATTTTAAAATGTTTTCATAAAAGTGTTGTTGAGCTTTCATAATCGCTCGATATGAAGGTCATTACATGAAATATTACAAAAGAAACACGGCACTTAGGTTAATGCAAATAAAATTATATCAAAAATTCATTTGTTTGGTACATAATTAATTAGCAGTTTTCCGTAGAATATAAGAAACAGTATGATACTGTAGGAGTGTAGGTGTGACGTGGACAGTTACAAACAAAACGAGCGTCGACATGAACAAATAAAAAGTAAAACGTACTGAACACTATACTGAAAAAAAAATACGTTATTCTCTGTATCTCAAAATTGAATTGAAAATGCAAATGGAAATATATATTCTAATTATTTAAATCAACTGAGGGGACTATAGAATTAAGGAAATTTATTTTCTATCATTAAGTGTGTCGTTGACAACACCTGAGAGGAATGGGACTTCTTATTTTCTTTCAAAAGGTCTATTTAGTATTATTTACTGAACATTGGTGAAATAAATATTGTAATCTGGTGTCCAGACCTTCTCACAATAGTAGTTCTACTTGAAGCATCCTACTTAACACAGTAACTTTACTTTAACTTTACTTGGTGGTGTTACATGTACTTCTCTGTGTTAAAAAATATGAATGGCACAATTGTTTGAAATAATAATACGTTCTATTTTATTGTGTCATTTATCCAGGAACAGTTTAAAATCGATTACTCTCGAACATATACGCAGGGTGTTTGAAGTAAACTACACTTCCTATTTTTGTTTACTTCAGATATTTCAGAAAAAGTAAAGAAAAACTTCTCTACAGAGAATTAAAAAAGGTCTTGAATGCAGGTATTGTATACTGATTTTATTTATTATGTTTGATTTAAATTCAATGAACTTTTATTTTGTTATTTTGATGAGTATTTTGAATCAGAAAGTATATACATATACATGTATGGTAGATTTTATCGATATTTTCAAAACACAGTTTCACTAAAGCCAAACCGTATCATTACATCTCTATTTTGCTTTTTGTTCCCTGATTTCACGTAAAGGGGGTAGTTATTTTGGGCTTATCTGTTTTTCTGCCTGCCATTTTTATGTATATAACAGTTTCATTTCCTACGATGTTTCAAATAAAAAAAAAATGGAAAAGGTATTTATGTTGAATGATATTTTAATACTAGTGCTATAAAATAAGTGACAGAAAAGCTAGAGAAATCTGTTTGTAGAGGCTACATGTAAGTGTAATGTGTCTAAAAAATAATGAAGGTCAATAAATAACCATAATTGTGAAAATTTGGTCTTGTTAACAAAGTGTTTATGTCTTTCTCGTGAAAAAAAAATTGTCGCGAAAATTGAGTGATCTTTAGTATAATTGATATGTATAAGAAGCAATTTTAATTCTAATTCAGACAAACCATGTCAGCTTTCGAGAATGTAAGTTGTTTCCGTTCTAACTGTTGTCGTGATATATATCTTCTTGTAACATCAAACGCCAGCGACATTTCAAGGATAAGCACATCATCATCTCTCTTTTTTGCTGATCGAATGTACCCGACAACAGTGCATGATATCGAAAACAAATCAATAGCAATATTCCGTGTCAGGAATTGTTGCGAAGGGGTAATTTATGTGTTAGGTATGTAACATTGGTTTTGTTGTAAAATACAGTGCAAAAGGTATTTTCCCGTTTAACAACAGACTATATTTTTCATTAAAGGGTAATTGACCTATTCACATCCTTGGTAATATTTAATTTAGACATATTTTAATATTTGTGAACCTTAATGAATCATAGTTTATTCAATTTGTTCGATGTTTGCTAGAATATTATTGGTGCCAGAGGAGGAATAAATATTGAAAAACGTGTTTCTTTAAACTCCATCTTTTTTGTACATACAGTCAAAACTATTTTTCTCCACAAATGTATATGGAATACGAAGACACTTCAGATGTAATCTGTTAGACCCTGTAATGTCTTTTATTTCGAGCTCACTGGGTTATAGAACCGAGTCAATATATAGAAATTAAAGTTTTGTTTTGTAGATGAGATATCAACACAGAATTCCACATTTGTCTACGATATTACGGAAACAGAAAACACCACCCAGGCCTTCATTTCAACAGAAAACAATACAGAGGAAGATTGATTGATTGATTGTATACTGTTTAACGTCCCTCTCCAGAATATTTCACTGATATGGAGACGTCACCATTGCCGGTGAAGGGTTGCAAATTTAGGCCTATGCTCGGCACTTACGGCCTTTGAGCAGGGAGGGATCTTTATCGTGCCACACCTGCTGTGACACGGGGCCTCGGTTTATACGGTCTCATCCGAAGGACCGCCCCATTTACGACAAGCAAGGGGGTACTGAGGACCTATTCTAACCCGGATCCCCACGGTGTACAGAGGAAGACAGTCTCTGCATGAGCAACGTGCCCTTTCTTTTCAGTTTGGCGATAAATATCCTACTTTTTCTCCTATTACTTATTATGTTTTATGTTGTTTGGAGAAAAGCTCACAATCGTGACTAAAAGTAAATTTGTTTGGTTGATTAACGACCCCCTCGAGAATGTTTTGTTCATATGGAGACGCAAACACCTGCTTCAAATGTATACATGCAATGAGGGATCTTTATCGTGCCAACACCTACTGCGACACGGAACTTAAGTTTACACGGTCTCATCCGAAGGATTGGTCTCCACGTCCCGCAGTGGATTCGACTTTGCAACGGAAGAATCAGCTCTTTACATCTTTAGATGTCTTTACATCTTTAGATCTCTAACCACTGCGCCATGAGGCGACTCATTCAAGAGATAACATAGGCGTATAGTATCGAAGGAGAGAAGTGGCAAATTCCCCTTCTCTGCGATATAATTATTTGCTTCTAATATAATCGATGAGGGCCGTCTCCCACTTCAGGCGCGGATCCAGGATTTTTTCCAGTGGGGAGGGGGGTTCCACCCAAGTGAAAAAAAATCCATCCCAGAGATGTTGACAGGCAAAAAAAAAAAAAACATTACCTCGCCAAAACATGAAAATCCTATTTCTGGGGTGGGGTGGGACATAGTCGTTGACTTCCAAATCT